CAGACAGGTCTGTGTTTGGGAAGAATACACCATACCATACATTTGTATTCTAATGACCTCCAGTTTTTGGTGGTGGAGGAAACCGGAGCACACGGAGAACAACCATCGGCCTGCGGCGAGTGGGCGACTGATCCAAGTTCAAATTCTTTATTAACTTTAAGTCTTGCGACTTATCAGTGTAAACATATAATAAACAGGATATTTACATATGTACAAAAAGCCACATTGGTCACAGGAGAATGAACAACACACATAAACAAACTGTCATATATCTGATCGGCGCTTTTTTGCCGCTATCAGATACTTTCCAAGATTACATAATTCTTTAATATTCCGTGTATTTTAAGTAATTGAACCCACGACCCAGTGGTGGGTGTCTAGTGATCATAGACGGCCATGCAGACGCCTTAAACCACTCGTCCATCGCAGCCTCAGTTTGAAGTGTAATTAAATGCATCTCAAGTTGGCCGTTAATTTTGCGATGTTACGCGTTTGTTCCAATATTTCCCCCCTCGTAAGTGACCTTAATAAGCTTTCGTACTTGATAAAGGACAGAGACTGTTGTAAAAATGTGACGTTACTTATCCATTATAGATAATGACTGTAATTGAAATAAATACCCTCTGTTTATGTCACCAACGTGTAAAACTGGACATCATCTTTAATAAAAAAAATCTCGGTGTCTGTCAGTACTTGCTGAACGTACAGTATTTGCCGAAACTACACTAGCCATCGAGAAGACTTAATACAACACTTAAACCTAGGGTTAAAATAAGATGCCCCTCTTCGGATTCTAAAATGAATAAAGGTAGAAAACGTTGGCTTCCGAACTACAAAATAAGTGGATATATATCGCGAGAACGTCACAAACCTGGCGAATTGTTATGAAATATTGAACAAGGACACATGAGTTTCGTGGCAGACAAAGCGCAGCGGTTAGCGTTGTAATTAGCCCCGTGCAAGTCGGCCGTTGCGTCATCAATACCTATAAATTACATTTGTATAGTGCCCTCTGGTGTGGGGCGCTGTGTAAAGTTGTTTGTTTGGAACAAACGGTACATTATTGGCTATATACCTGACCTTTTGTCACGACACAGTGTTCTTATAATGTGTTTTACATAATATCGTTAAGGGTCGTTCACACCGGCAAATTGTAACATTGCTAAGTGGTGTTTTTTTAGAAAATTGTTGAAGACGTTATTGTGATCCTTACTGAAGGTCACAACCATAATTAAAATTTGTCCCCATTACGCTGCCTACCAACATAGGAAATGTTGGTACAGTAATTGATTATTATTCAGTGAATTATATCTGTTTTTTGCCGAAAATGTGATACTTTAGTATTATTGACTGGTTATTTCTGTATTAGCCCAGTTATTGGTCCGAGGCCTGTGATATTGGCCTGAGGCGTACCTGGTCAATGTAGCAGGCCGAGGACCAATAATTTGGTCAATACAGAAATAACCAATCAATATTGTCTTTATTAATTAACCATGTGACAATTAAAAAGGAAACGCAAAATTAATATAGAAAACGTTTTGTTTATTTTTAAGCAAAGGCATATAAAGCTGTAGTACGTATATATACCAGAGACGTATATAATTAACCTCTGATCCAATCCGTCATGTAACAAAATACACTTCGTCATTCTGTTTGTCTTTGACGTATGTATCGATAATTAATGTGTCACTCTCAGAAATTAAAATAACGTCCGATAAAATAGTTTGCTTATTGAATCATTATCTGTAAGAATAAGATAAACAAGGAACGCTGGTCACTTCAATAAAACGTATTGGCTATATATACCTGGCACAATACATTACTGACCATAGCGATGCGTGCTATACTGATATTGGTCACATCACCTAGCTCGTCGGCCGGTCCCCTCAGCGACAGTAACACATGCCGGATGCTAAAACGATGAGCTAGTCCAATTCATCCAACAGCATCTTTTAAATCGTCATCTGGTTTCTTACGAAATTCCACATTTCGCGGATACACTTTCAATTTCCATTAACGTTATCATTTTACGCTATTCGGGGTTTAAAAGATATGTTTACTAATAACAAATCCAATACATAACTGTCTATTAAGAGGAGGCGTCGCTCATGCAAGTAAATAAAAGTAGGTCAAAGATGTCATTATCATTGGAAACCACGGATATCGCTAAACAGATGTATTTTTTTCGTGAACCGCTTCGCTTACATCATCTTCACTAGCCAATGGTTACGATACGGTACGATCTACCTCCTAGCTAGGAAGACCGGATCGTACCGGATCGAAACATTCATCTGTGTTTTATTTAATTGGAATTAGCTGCATTGGTACAAACCATCAGATTATTTTGCTTTGTTTATATGTAATGTCCTATCAACAGCTATGAACATTTAAGGTCGTGTCAGGTTCTGGTGGTAAAACCACCGACCTGCAGCTAATACCTTGTTACTGCTTATGTAGGCCTCGAACCCGCGACAGAATGTTATTCTATCGAAGTGGCAAAAGTTTAGCAATGGACAATTGGTCAAAGTCTGACATTAGGTTGGTAATGTCAACTAACAAATCATTGCTTTGAATGCTGTAAAGGGGCAATCGCATTATGACATGTAATCACCCACCAACATTAAAAAACCTATGGCACTAGATTTCTATTATCTCCCCTTACGTTTAATACTTACGTCTAGTCCATTTATTATTACACAATATTTGCAGAGCGCCTTGTCTCATGTAAAAGAAATTAATCTTAGGCGCTTAGCATTCAACGAATGCCAGATATAATACGAAATTAGAGGCTAATCGCTGTAGGACGTGATCTAGAAATTGTTTTGGCACAACATTAATTTTGGTCATGACAATACGTACTTCAAAGAAATCACAAGAAAGAGTTCCCTAAGTTAAAGTTGTAAAACAAAGCGAACGGACTTATTGGCACACGTTTCATGTCTTTTATAACAACCAGCAGCCCTCATATACCACTTTTAATTTGTTATATGCAGATCAGGAAAATGCATAGTCTCGTTCAACCAGACTCTTATTGTCTGCGCAAGCTACGCCAGTAATCAAGCGTCTGGTTAAACGAGACTAGAAAAACAATGGAACCGTACTTACCGTTTCACATGTCCACCATCTCCCTGCTTAATTTTCACGTAAACCTCAAATTTATTGAGACATTTCTTGACCAAGTAAAGTTCTTCATCACAACTTTCCAGTTTATTAATTTCGATAAATAAATTTTGATGTACTTTTTAAGTGTAAGAAAGTTTCTGTCTCCAATTTCATAAAATTTGAAGTAGTATGTGTGCGTGAGGTTTGTGACATTAAACTTGAAGACTATCAAAACGTCATCAGTATTTAGAACATGGCGACAATTCTTGGAATATTATAAACCTTCATTGAAATGTTCAAGTAATTACTAGAGATATTGCTTGTCGAAATAGACCGGTGTAAAAGACAGCTCTGCAGCAGTTCAGTTTCACCCTGTAACCATTGACAACACAATGGACTGATGTAGGGGGGGGCCTTTCGGTTATAGCGACCCCTCTTTTTATGCCGCTCACAGGCGCCATGTCGTCCAGCATAATACATATCATGTCTCAGTTTTCAGGATCCTATGGTAGATATCCGACGAAATATTGACACCATATCACTTAACAAGTCCTAGTTGCCAATTCCCTGTGATAGGTATCTGACGAAACAGTGAAACTTTATAACAGAACAATTCTTAGTTGTAAAGTCCCTGTGGTAAGTATCTGCACTTTAAAACAGAATTGTTCTTAGTTGCCGTGTGCCTGAGGTAGGTATCGGACGAAACAATGACTCTGTATGATAAAAAGCACCAAGCATGCTATCAAATCGATAGCGACAGCCCTGAATCAGACTTTGGACATTGAGATTGTGGTTACATGTTTAAAAATTCATGTTGCTTGTTATTGATAATTATCATATTTTAGAAGTGTTGCATTATCCGTGTACGATCGATCTGGATCAAATACCAAAAGTGTGTTGGTGTTTACGTCTATATCATATTGTTACGTGTTCACACCGAACATATAAACACGTTATATTCACCGCCTAGTAGTATCGAGAACAATGGCTTGTCAATTTTATGCTCAAGGAACGATGCAAGTGCTGTAACTAATAGGATTATATAAGATATCGTTTATATTATAAAAGATGTCTTTTATGTTTGTGTGAACTTTTATATGTTTATACGATATCTTGCTTAATTTTATGAAGATCGACAGTGCTCTTTTGATTTTGTCACAGAGAATCTTTTGTTCAAAGGGTTCCGTTCTTGATATAGACATATGTGGAGAGAACGGGCTCCTATCATTTCGGAGATGGACGGAACAGGAACACCGTTTGTTTGCATTTCTTGGTAAACTCGGGAACACTTTGTCTTCACATTAAAATACGCATTTAAAAGTTTAAATAAAAGATAGAATTTGATGAAGACATAAATGAATAAATGAATAAAAATCACTTCATGCTTCACCGATTCCCATTTTCCCCATACAATTTCGATCTAAGATTAGAAATTTTCCTTTCGTTCAAACTGCTAACGTGGTTTAACAAATAACTCCCATTGGGGCTGTAAACAATTGTGTGCTTTGACAGGATACTAGGGTGATAGTTTACGCTGGTATTGTGTTTTGCTTTACTTCGAGTGTATTGTCACGAACGAAGACATCGACTTGGAGATTGTCATAATGGTACTACTTATGACCATATAGAGGAGGAGGAGGAGGAGGAAGTGGAGTAAGGGACGGGTAATGAGAGACCAGTCACACGTCCGTATCGGTAATCCCTGTAGTAACTCCGAAACCCTTAAACTGTCGCTCAATCTATTTTGATGGACCTCCTTCCGCAATCTGTAAACGATAGTTTTTCTTAATCTAAGGAGAGACATCGAGGCATTAATATTTAATTCGGTTGTGGATGCCGTCCCAATTAACGTGTAGTGAGAGGTATCTCCTGCTAGGCACCGTCGGCTGAAGCGGCCGGTGGCTGACTGGTGTTGACTGGAGCCATGCAAACGACACAAGCGGCATCGTAACCCCCCGCACGTGCATTTGTTGACCGTGCAATCGTTGACCGATACATACAATGTATATCACCTGAGACCTACATCTGTATGTCCGCGTGTCTTTACAAAATATAGGAAGCTACCAGTGCATCAAGGAAGGCAGTGTAGTTCTGATATCCCAGAACGTGTTTTTACAGTGTGACTATGGTTCTAGGTAAGTGTTACATGACCCAGGGATTTGTAACCGTTTTCCAGTGTGACAATAGTTCTAGGTAAGCGTGACATGATTCAGGGATCTGTAACCGTTATCTAGAGTGGCAATGATTCTAGGTAAGTGTACCGCCATTTGTCTCCCGAACCATTGTTTTGATTACATTTTTATATTACTAAGGGGAACACACTGTTCTAGTGTAGGGCTCTGTCTCCAAAACCATTGATACACATATATTTCAATAGGAGAATGGTACTGTCTATGCCCCTAACCTCAACCAAACCATCACCGGGGGTACGGCTGTTTCGTCCTCCTAGTCTGTTTATGTCCCTAACCTCCACCAAACCATCCCCGGGAGTACGGCTGTTTCGTCCTTCTAATCTGTCTATGCCCCTAACTTCCACCAAACCATCACCGGGGGTACGGCTGTATCGTCCTCCTAGTCTGTCTATGCCCCTCACCTCCACCAAACAACCACCGGGGGTACGGCTGTTTCGTCCTCCTAGTCTGACTATGCCCCTCACCTCCACCAAACAATCAACGGGGGTACGGCTGTTTCGTCCTCCTAGACTGTCTATGCCCCTCACCTCCACGAAACAATAAACGGGGGTACGGCTGTTTCGTCCTCCTAGTCTGACTATGCCCCTCACCTCCACCAAACAATCAACGGGGGTACGGCTGTTTCGTCCTCCTAGTCTGACTATGCCCCTCACCTCCACCAAACAATCAACGGGGGTACGGCTGTTTCGTCCTCCTAGTCTGTTTATGTCCCTAACCTCCACCAAACCATCCCCGGGGGTACGGCTGTTTCGTCCTTCTAATCTGTCTATGCCCCTAACTTCCACCAAACCATCACCGGGGGTACGGCTGTATCGTCCTCCTAGTCTGTCTATGCCCCTCCCCTCCACCAAACCATCACCGGGGGTACGGCTGTATCGTCCTCCTAGTCTGTCTATGCCCCTCCCCTCCACCAAACAATCACCGGGGGTACGGCTGTTTCGTCCTCCTAGTCTGAGTATGCCCCTAACCTCCACCAAATCAACACCGGGGGAATGGCTGTTTCGTCCTTCTAGTCTGTTTATGTCCCTAACCTCCCCCAAACCATCACCGGGAGTACGGCTGTTTCGTCCTTCTAGTCTGTCTATGCCCCTAACCTCCACCAAATCAACACCGGGGGTATGGCTGTTTCGTCCTTCTAGTCTGTTTATGTCCCTAACCTCCACCAAACCATCACCGGGAGTACGGCTGTTTCGTCCTTCTAATCTGTCTATGCCCCTAACCTCCACCAAACCATCACCGGGGGTACGGCTGTTTCGTCCTCCTAGTCTGTCTATGCCCCTAACCTCCACCAAATCAACACCGGGGGTATGGCTGTTTCGTCCTTCTAGTCTGTCTATGCCCCTAACCTCCACCAAACTATCACCGGGGGTACGGCTGTTTCGTACTTCTAGTCGTTTCCAATTGAACAATAGTTCAAGATGAGAGCCATGCCTTTCAAGTGACAACCAGTAGTGTAGTATTGCTAGTGTATGCCCATTGGGACCATGGTACATGATAAATGTCCTGCATCGGAGTTCAAATAACTTTCGTTTGGCGATGTGGCAACTGTGCTAATAGCTTTATAGTCATCTTCAGAACAAGTACTCTAACTACAATGTACGTCACCATCAGACATTTCCTGTACACTCTAACTACGTCATCATCAGACATTCCCTGTACACTCTAGCTACGTCATCATTAGACATTCCCTGTACACACTAGCTTCGTCATCATCAGACATTCTATGTACACTCTAACTACGTCATTATCAGACATTCCATGTACACTCTAACTACGTCATCATCAGACATTCGATACACACTCTAACTACGTCATCATAAGACATTCCCTGTACACTCTAACTACGTCATCATCAGACATTCCCTGTCACTCTAGCTACGTCATCATTGGACATTCCCTGTCACTCTAACTACGTCATCATCAGACATTCCCTGTACCCTCTAACTACGTCATCATCAGACATTCCATGTACAGTCTAACTACGTCATCATCAGACATTTCATGTACACTCCAACTACGTCATCATCAGACATTCCCTGTCACTCTAGCTACGACATCATTGGACATTCCCTGTCACTCTAACTGCGTCATCATCAGACATTCCCTGTCACTCTAGCTACATCATCATTGGACATTCCCTGTCACTCTAACTACGACATCATCAGACATTCCCTGTACACTCTAACTACGTCATCATGAGACATTCCCTGTACACTCTAACAACGGCATTATCAGACATTTCATCTACACTCCAACTACGTCATTATCAGACGTTCCATGTACACTCCAACTACGTCATTATCAGACGTTCCATGTACACTCCAACTACGTCATTATCAGACATTCCATGTACACTCTAACTACGTCAGCATTAGACATTCGATACACCCTCTAACCACGTCATCATCAGACGTTCCATGTACACTCTTACTACGTCATCATCAGACATTCACAGTACATTCTAGCTACGTCATCATCAGACATTCCCTGTGTACTCTAACTACATCATCATCAGACGATCCATGTACATTCGAACAACGTCATCATCATCAGACATTTCATGTACACTCCAACTACGTCATCATCAGACATTCCCTGTGTACTCTAACTACATCATCATCAGACGATCCATGTACATTCGAACAACGTCATCATCATCAGACATTTCATGTACACTCCAACTACGTCATCATCAGACATTCTATGTACACTCTAACTACGTCTTTATCAGACATTCCATGTACACTCTAACTACGTCAGCATTAGACATTCGATACACCCTCTAACCACGTCATCATCAGACGTTCCATGTACACTCTAAGTACGTCATTATCAGACATTTCATTTACACTCCAACTACGTCATTATCAGTCCTTCCTTGTAGACTATAGCCTCTAGCTACGTCATCATCAGAATTCCATGTTCACTTTGTTTAAGTCATTATCAGACATTCCCTATACGCTCTAACTACGTCATCATCAGACATTCTCAATACATTTTGACTACGTCATCATCAGACATTCTCAGTACATTCTAGCTACGTCAACATCAGACATTCACAATACATTCTAGCTACGTTATCATCAGACATTCCATGTACAGTCTAACTACGTCATCATCAGACATTCCATATACACTCTAACTACGTCATCATCAGACATTCACAATACATTCTAACTACGTCATCATCAGACGTTCCATGTACATTCTAACTACGTCATTATCAGACATTCCATATACACTCTACCTACGTCATCATCAGACATTCCCTGTACAGTCTAACAACGTCATCATCAGACATTTGTACACTCTAGCTACACATTCACAGTACATTCGAGCTACGTCATCATCAGATATTCCATGTACACCCTAGCTACGTCATCATCAGAAGTTCCATGTACATTCTAACTACCTCATTACCAGACATTTCCTGTGCACGCTAACTACGTCATCATTAGACATTCCCTGTACACTCTAGCTACACATTCACAGTACATTCTAGCTACGTCATCATCAGACATTCCATGTATACCCTAACTACGTCATTACCAGACATTTCCTGTGCACTCTAACTACGTCATCATCAGATATTCCATGTACACACTAGCTACCTCATCATCAGACATTCACAGTACATTCTAGCTATGTCATCATCAGACATTCCATGTATACCCTAACTACGTCATTACTTCCTGTACACTCTAACTACGTCATCATCAGACATTCTATGTACACTCTAACTACGTCATCATCAGATATTCCATGTACACACTAGCTACGTCATCATCAGACATTCACAGCACATTCTAGCTACGTCATCATCAGACATTCCATGTATACCCTAACTACGTCATTACCAGACATTTCCTGTGCAATCTAACTACGTCATCATCAGATATTCCATGTACACACTAGCTACCTCATCATCAGACATTCACAGTACATTCTAGCTATGTCATCATCAGACATTCCATGTATACCCTAACTACGTCATTACCAGACATTTCCTGTGCAATCTAACTACGTCATCATCAGATATTCCATGTACACACTAGCTACGTCATCATCAGACATTCACAGCACATTCTAGCTACGTCATCATCAGACATTCCATGTATACCCTAACTACGTCATACATTCCATGTACACTCTAACTACGTCATTATCAGTCATTCCTTGTAGACTATAGCCTCTAGCTACGTCATCATCAGACATTCCATGTATACCCTAACTACGTCATTACCAGACATTTCCTGTGCAATCTAACTACGTCATCATCAGATATTCCATGTACACACTAGCTACGTCATCATCAGACATTCACAGTACATTCGAGCTACGTCATCATCAGACATTCCATGTATACCCTAACTACGTCATTACCAGACGTTTCGTGTGCGCTCTAACTACGTCATCATCAGATATTCCATGTACACACTAGCTACCTCATCATCAGACATTCACAGTACATTCTAGCTATGTCATCATCAGACATTCCATGTATACCCTAACTCCGTCATTACCAGACATTTCCTGTGCACTCTAACTACGTCATCATCTCTTACTACGTCATCATCAAACATTCACAGTACATTCTAACTACGTCATTATCAGACATTCCATATACACTCTGACTACGTCATCATCAGACGTTCCATGTACACTTTTACTACGTCATCATCAGACATTCACAGTACATTCGAGCTACGTCATCATCAGACATTCCATGTATACCCTAACTTCGTCATTACCAGACATTTCCTGTGCACTCTAACTACGTCATCTTCAGATATTCCATGTACACACTAGCTACGTCATCATCAGACATTCACAGCACATTCTAGCTACGTCATCATCAGACATTCCCTGTACACTCTAACTACGTCATCATCAGACATTCTCAATACATTTTGACTACGTCATCATCAGACATTCTAAGTACA